TATATATAAAAACAATCATTTTTTGGAGACTGCACACCTTTTTATTCTCTTTGAAAACAAATTCATCATTAAAAAAATACTGAAGAATCAGTTACGACCTGTAGTAAAGGCAACTGTCCAGCAGATGGGAGCAGAGTTTCAGAAGAATCTGGTCCTGGATCAGCTCCAGGGGTCCGACTGATGCTTGAGGTTGTAGTTCAGCAACTCAACTTGGTCTTTGATCTGATTTATTAAAATCTGAGACAGAAGCATGCCGAYCAGCTGCAGACAGAGGAAACACCACGGTGAGGTTTCTGCAGTAGTTGGGGGAGCTTTAACTCTGAACGTGTGGTACCTGTGGTATGGCCAGTCCCAGTGCGATGCCCCCCAGTATGAACAGGTTGCTGTGGATCCAGTTAACCAGCTTGTCGATGCAGCCGTTGGTGTAGATGTGGTTTCCAGCTTCGTCGAAGTCTAACTCCTGCATGCCCTGCCCACACTTGGTGTTGATCACCTCCTGCACACAGAAGYGATCATTTAAAAGCCAACAGAAATCAAACAATGATAAGACAGAGCTGGGTTAAAAGAGGACCTGTTTTTTTGACACGATGCAGCAGGAGAACGGGACAGAGCAGCGTTCTCGGCTCGGGTTGCTCTGGCTGCAGTTGAAGTAAATGTTCCGGGACCAGTCTTTGTATTCCGTCCCTCCACAGCACTCAAACTGAGGAGATGGAGGAAATGAATTCATGCATTATTTTAAAAAAGGGTTTGAGTTTCAATCTAACTTTTACCTCTTTTTGGCCAAAGTCAATAAGGTTCTGCAGATCAATATCATCTCTGTAGTGGACGATGGCATTGTTGAGTATTTCAGTTACTTTATGCCTTGCCTTGAGAGAATATTTGAAATAAATGGTTAAATATTTTTGCAGCAAAATTCCAGTCACATCTTTTCACACGCTATAAATAAATTATAAAAAGCAACCTCATTCATCACCTTATCAGAAAAGATGAAGCCCAGGACACCAACAGCCAGCTGTAGCAGAAAAATGACAGTCAGACAGACGCAGAACTGAAAGAGAAGAGACCGTCTTGGTTAGAAAACATACCAGAATACACAACAGTAACTCAATTTGTAATAAAACAGCAGTTTTTAGTGTGGATATTTTTTTCTTGCACTGTTTGAGCCTTGATAAAATTTGAAAATAGTAACTCTTCTTTAAAAAAAAGAGAGATCATACTGTCTGCAGGAGACAGATGTTTTCTCGCAGGGAGCCCACACAGCCACAGAAGGTGATTACGAACATGAGGACTCCTATAATCATCAGCATCATGGCAGGATCCACAGACAAGCACGCCAGAGCTGTCTCTGAAACAGACACAGAAAAAAAAAATCAAATAAAACAAAAACATCTCAAACTGAGCCGGAAAGACAGATTCTCTCTGTTTGCTTTTGCCAAAGTTYACCTGCATGCTTTGCCATGCGGGCGTACACTCCAATCACCACCATCATCAGAGAGATTATCTTAGGGTGGGGAAAAAAAAGAGAGATTTATTTATTAATGTTAGGAGCATTTCACATCAAAATATCTGCATTTCTTTCGTGTTTCAACTTGTAAAAGGAGTGGCACCACCCTCAGAAAAACAGAGGGGACTATTTAAAATATGCACTCAAACGCTGATTTTTACAATAAGCTGAACCGAAGCAGACACTTTCCTCTCCAGTCTGCTTTGACTAAATCAACCAGWCATTAACCTGAAATCTTCTTTCACTGGCTCGCCTCTCTCGGACTCAAAATAATGAAAAGGAGGCTTCAGAACCTCTGTTTCAGTCCCTGAATGAAATGGATCCAATTACACTGACTGCACCCTCCTCCACAGAGACTGAACCTAATGTCACACAAACAGGTGGCTTCGGAAACATTTTACTTTGAGGAAAAGGTACGAGCCAGTAAAACATTGGTTTAGATCTTTAACTGAGAGGTTAATAATGGACAGGACTGATCTGAAAACTGTGTCGTATACTGAACCAAAATGTAGCCGGGGGCAGCAGAAATGACTAAAACATTCCAGATGGCCAGGTTTCATGTTTTCACACAGCCTTATCCTGTTTGTACACGGCCTCGACCAATCAATATGAAGAACCAAAGAAACAGAGAGGCACACCTAAAAAGTGAAACWTCTTGCCAAATTTAATCTTCAACACATCAACACTGAAACTGTTTAAATCTCAGCAGTTTTAATGTGTAATCAGCTGAAAAACAAACAAAATGTAGCAAGAAGTCACCTGATGCTGAAACCCTCTTATATAAACTTTGTTGACAGCTCACTGYTGGGCTTTCTTTGCATTACAACAAATAAAAGTTGATGGACTTTGAACTTTTAAAAGTGAAATTTGTTCATTCTTGTCAACGATTCAGTCAGCAAACATACCCATGGAGGGCAAATGRATTGAATAGATTGAGTTTTTATAACAGGGGAAAAGTATAAGCAGATTTGTACATAACTCTGTTTTAGGACACCTGGAAATTAGAACATTTTAACAGTTTATTATAGTGTACAAGTCTGGTTTGCAGCAGCTCAAACTTCATATTAGGAAGTGTAAGACCCCAAATGTTCACTTACCCAGAAAAGAAAGTTAAAAATAAACAGCAGGTACTTCACAACCGGACTGACAAACGTGAAGTCCTTCTTGGATCCAGATGCGCCCCCGCGCCTTCCCCCCATGCCGCCCAAACCGCGTCCAGTCCCAACTGCGCCCAGATGAGAGCTACCTGCGGAGTCCCCGGAGGTCCAACCGACCTCCCTTCAATATGACGATGAACTGAACATGGTTGTGGACTAGAGGGAAACATAGAGGAATGTACTAATCGGGTTACAGAACACATYTAAAAGCTGCAAAGTTTAGTTTTCCTCCAAAAAAGAGGCAGGAAAAAGTTCCTTGGTGGATCGAGCAAAACGCTCAAAACTTTAGGAAAGAAGGATAAGAGAAAAACTTCAAAAGAAAAAAATGTGTTAGGATGGGAAAAAAAAAACAGCTCCACCATAGGTTCAAGTAAATACAATTAACATATATTAACATACATACATTAACATAATAATTAAAATATTTTATATATTATTAACAGTTCAATATAAAACACATCTATGGTAAAATGCATTTCAAGATGTGAAAACACAAGCTTTTATTTTGAAGGGCATCACAGRCGCAAACTTTTCACAACATCCGGTTAACCCGGATGTTGTCTCTGAGCTCTGTAAGCGAAAAGCTAACTAGCAATTTTGCTATTTGTTGAGGCTTTTATGAGCGAGAAATATGGCGTGGAGCAGCAAAGGTTTGTAGAGTTGCTTATGTAGGTGACTTTTAGTCTCCGTAATTTGTTGAATTAGTAAATTAAACAACAATTTACACCGTAAAGCTAACGCGAGCTAATCTTAGCGTCGGAGTTAAAGACAAATCGCCTTCAGATGGTTGTTGTGATGCATTTTATGGAATGTTTTCTGTGTCCATTCATTTTTACTTCATGTATCCCCCCCACCCCCACCCCCGGCAGTCTCCGCTCTTCCTCCAGCCTCCTTAAAGCTGCTTGTCCCTCCAGTGAGACTCATGGCTGCCTTCATGTGGAAGGTGGCGCAGCAGGACAGCAGCGTGATGCATTATGATAAGCTGCTGGACTTCATCAGTTTGGCAACAGAGATGGTCCCAGAACTTCTCAGTCCCAGTCAGAAGGTTCAGCTCATGCTGGGCCTGAGAGCAAAGGTGGAAACAGCTTAGATGAAAGATCTCTGATTGTTCAATATTAGGCTGTATGTTGTTTTGACATTCTCCTCTCCCTTCTCTTGCAGCTGATTCTGGAGCTTTGCCGTGGTGACGGYGTCGCCAATCTGAATACCATCCAAGCCCACCTTGATAAAATCCACTCCTGCTGCATCGAGCTGAGCACCTGTGATCAAATGGTGTTGTTTAAAAAGACCATCTTAGATCCCCACACATGTATAAAAACTAACTAATGTGACTTGTGTATTCTTGACAGGAAACCGATATTCTGAAGACCTCATATAGCAGCTTTGCCACTCTGGTGCAGGACATTTTAAATATTCCCTCAGAAAAGGAAGTCTTCTTCAAAGTGAGTGTGCATGTGAAAAAAACGCATCTTAAAAGCAAAAGTTTATTTTTATTTTTGTCATATGAGCAAGTTTATCAAATAAGGAGCAGTGTTTATATAGTGGCTTATRTTTCTGAACATGTTTATAAAGCAAACAGAATAAAATGATAATTAAACTAAAAACTAAAATTGGATTATCTGGTTGTGTCTGTAGACCTTTTTTCCTAAGCACTACGGTCCTGTCTACAACAAAAGGATCCAGCAGCTCGCGTCGCTGTTTCTGTCCCGACTGGAAGAGCTGATGCCCACACCCAACCTGCACCAGGTACTCCCAACAGGTCCCACTAATGTAGATGTTTGTTTTTATTTACATATATTGTTTCTGTACAGAGATATACTTTGTAAAATTGTTGTTCTTTTTAAACTTTAAGCCATATGATCCCATATATCGACATAAAGTAAATTTTGGCCAAGTTTGCCATTTAGGTCAACAGTGAAGTAATTATAGGTGCACTGATAAACAGGCCAGCCTAGAAGAAATGTTTCAAAACTGTGCATACTGTTTTTTTAACGTTTTATTTGTAAGCCTTAAAGTCTCAGTAWGATGTTTCTTACAATGTAAAAATATAAAAAACATACAATTTGGTTACATTGTGAGGCCGGCTCTGGGATCTGAACAAATTTACTTAAATGTCTGYGGATGTGGTATGTGAGGAATTGTGCAGTTGCTTTGTAATGATTTGGTGGCAAATATAAAATGTCTTACAGGAAATTTGTGCTTTTGATTTTGTGGTTTTACAGACAACAGTTTGGCTCTCTGAAACATCTGCATCAGAGGAGTTTAAACATCACTTATCTGAACCTTTGGCTCTGAGAACTCTGCTGGTTCATCACAGAGAGCTGGGGACCCTCAGCTCAGGTCAGATCATRGATTTATTCTCTCTTTTCTTAAAAAAAATAATGTTTTACTATTTGTTCGTTAAAAATGTTCTGTTACAGTTTGTCCAAGCAATGAAGATGACATCATTTTGTCTGCGCTGTCCTTCACTAAACCAGTGAATGAGTTCAGCGAGGCTGATGATGAGGAGGATAGCAATGAAGGGTCGCTGGCTTTGGATGATTTGGATGAAGACTCAAGTCAGTGCATCACCGACACTGACGACTCAGAGGACTGGTTTTCAAAAAAGAAATCAGGTCAGAGACGGACCAAAATTATTTTCAGAWATTTCAGTTTACTTCACTTAACTGATCTGTGCTTTGTCCTGTTTTCAGACCTTTTTCCTCGCTTCTCCATCTCCTCTAAGGGTCCYGGCACGCCGCCTGTACCGACAAAGGTTCGAGAGTGCGTCCAGAAGGCCGTTCAGAGAAARAAATCTGAAAAAAAAGGGAGAAGCAAGACTTTGCAAAAAAGCTTAAAGATGAAAAGCAGGAGCCAAAAGCTGAACATAAACAATCCGAGGAGAGGCAAACAAAAAGGTAGGGGTGAAGAGATGGAAAAGGAGAAAAAGGAGGACAACTCCAAAAAGAAACGTTGCAGAAAAAGGAAAGAGCCAACCGGGGAGGATAAACGGTTTCTGAGTACWCGAACCGTGAAGAAAAACTTCCCAGAAGAAGACACGAAATGTCCCACGTGTGAGAAAGTCTTCGAACATCCAAATCAGATGAAAACCCACCTGAAGCTGCACACCTTTCGCTACAGCTGCATCGAGTGCGAYAAAGGATTYATGAGCCGTTCAGGCTACGATTATCACCAGAAGATTCACAAAAAAGGACGAATATTCAAGTGTAACCAGTGCAGCAAGGCGTTCCCCAGCAGGTACGCTCTCAAGCAGCACAACCTTCTGCACGATGGACCATCCAACTTCTGCCAGATCTGCAAGAAAAACTTCAGCAAAAATGGTTACATAAGACATGTGCTGATGCACAAGGGCGAGAGGAATTACCTGTGCACCACCTGCGGGAAGGCGTTTCTGTCCTCCGGGGAGCTGCAGCTGCACAATCGGACGCACACGGGCGAGCTGCCGTACACCTGCGTCCACTGCGGGAAGGGCTTCTCCTGCAAGGCCCACCTGATCGTGCACACCCGCTCGCACACGGGAGATCGCCCGTATCTCTGCACCGAGTGCCCCAAGCGCTTCCTCACCCTGAACTGTCTGAAGAGGCACACACTCAGCCACAACGGGGTGAAACCGTTCAAGTGTTCGGAGTGTGACAAAGAGTTCTCCCAGGTGGGGAATATGAGAAGACACATGGCAACTCATAAACTTGGCACGTAGTGGCATCTGTTTTTTTTACATTTAAATATTGTCTTTGTCAAAACGTATTCTCCGTAATTTTTTATTTTTATTAATTAATTTTTTTTGTTATAACCTGTCTTAGAAAAGCCTCACGTGAGACCTCGATGTGTAAAATGCAAACGTCGCCCCCTGCTGGTGGAACCAGGTAGTCACAGCTGCTGATTGATTTTTGGAACATTTTATCTTTTTGAGTGTTCTGACTTGATACACAAAATAAAGAAAATTTTTGAAGTGCCCTATAAATTAATGTATTATTATTATTATTATTATTATTATTATTATTATTATGTTAATATAGAACATAAACGAACTAAAAGACCCCAGATGATTAGTGAAAGTTCAGATGTTTTGTTCAGACACTGCAGGGTTTGCTTTTTTTCTGGTCTGCAGCAGCTGAATTTAAATATTACAATAATGTGAATTTGTTCCATAAAGACTGTTAAACATCATTTATTCCAGTTTCTACAGGAGATTTGAAAATATTCTCCATTGCATTTTGTTTTGGGTAGATTGTAGTATATTTAAATCACACATTGGTTATCTGCTATTTAGCATTTCATCACGACTTTGTGTAGTTGGTTTCTTTAGTTGTAAATAGTTATACCAAATGCAACTACAGGGATCTTTATTACCAAGAGCAAGAATTTAATTTTTTTTTTTACTTTGAACTTAAACAGGATTTTAAAAAAATAAAAAAAGTTTTGATAAGGTAATGTTTTTTGAAGAAAGTGGTGTTTTTATTAAGCTTACAAACTGTTGAAATATGTTTACTTTAAATACACTTTATGTATAATTTTACAGAAAAAAATTGTTGAATTTCCCCACATCAGAGTTTTTATAATGTTATGTCTGCACTTTATTTGCTGCAGCTTTTTAAAATTGTTATTTTACTGTACTGTTTGGAAACTCATTCTGATAATGACACATTTATTTAGTATTTGTTACACTGTAAAATGTAAACTGAGTATGTTTTGTAAGACTTCAATAAATAAATAAAGTACTGCATTTAATCTTCCATCCAGCAGGGGGCAGTAATACCTACCTGTAATGAGTGGGAGGAGCCGGAAAACAGTGAAAACACAACTGTAGGAAATGCAATTTATTTGCAGTTTTTTAATAACATCATTCCTCAGATAAAAATGCAATGTTACAGGAATATACATCAGATATTAATTTAAAACTTGCTCTCAAGGGACCATACAGTCTAAATATACTTTTTCCTTTTTTTATTTACTGGTAGCGTGCGTAATAAGCAAGACAGACTCTGTCACCAATGACAGACTGACAAGTTACAGATACAAACTGTACAGAACTTATTTACAAATTAACTTTTATATATATATTTATATATATACTTTTTTTTTTGCATTTTTTGTTTCACTTTTTATGGAAAATAGGAGTAGAAAAAGTGATTGAATTAATAATATTCTGATTTATTTCATTTGTATTCTTTCCCTTTCTAAAATCTAAAATGAAATGTAAAAAATAAAATGGGAGGGGGGCAAAAAAAAGAAGGGTGTGAGAGAACATGCAGTCCTGACCACACCAAGGAGAACGAAAACCGAGGAAACCAAATGATGTTGGGCCGGTGTCGCTTAGCAGCCTTACAACCAATGAAATCCCTCCCTGCAGTGGAGGGGGAGTGGCTTACATTTAAAAACTCAGAAAATGGCCACCTGCCTCCAGAGCTACCGTACGCACAATAAACACACTTTAATTCATTATTTAGACCATAAATAGTGCTGTTATTAAATAGTACATTTAACAGTAGCGCCATTACTAATATTACAACAAATTGGTCTCTGTGAACACCTCCCACCAAAACTAAAGATTTAAAGAAACACAAACTGCTCAGTCCTGTCAAAAAAAATTGGCCCTTTTAACACTTTGCATGAGTAGTGGCCAAAAACAATAAGACACTACTGATGATTAGAGCAGAACCACACAACTCCGTCATCCACTCAGGCATTAAAGGAAGAAAAAAAAAAAGCTTTCTTTAAACACTTTATGGTCTGAACATATGATATGATAATGTTGTCATTTTTTAAAGCTGCATTTACTCACTCATGTTTATTTTGTAATCATTTGTGCTCTAAAAAGGGACAAAAAACAGCTAAAATAATGACAAGGGCGGAAAAACGGAAACCCTCAACCTTTGTCAGGCCTCAGCAAGAGCATCGCCGTGTCCTACATTCAAGAAATTGACTTTGTCGAGATAATTATCATTCAYGGAACGTGAACTAGCTCTTGTGCTGTGAGATGAGAAGAGGCTGAGGCAGATGCGGGTGGAGACATTCAGGGTTCTCACGAGGGCGAGCTGTTGAAAGAGGAGAACCTGCGCCGATGCACAAAAGCAGCTGCCGCATCTCCCGAGTCTAATTTGCTGAATTAGATCCCACAGAGAGTCACGGTTAGAAACACTCCACATGAATAGATGGGGGATTTCCCTCTTAAAAAAAACAAAAACAAAATATAACTCAATCATGGTGTCTCATCTTATTTGGGGTTTAATATCGCTTTTGCATAATGACGAATTAAAGAGTGTTCACACAAAGGTGCTGATGTCTGCTGCTACACAATGAGCGACTTGTGGTTCTATTAGTTCTAACTGGGAACACTAATCCCTCCCATCAGTCCCAGTGAAAAGGAAGAGCTCAGACCTCTGATATGCTCAGTAAAGAAACACCATGCGGCCGTGTGAACACTCAGGGTGAGTTTCCCACACCAAAAAAAAAAAAAAACTGGAAAACACAGCTGCTTTCATTACTAAACACTAATTAAATGTGTGATTTAAGCAAACAATTCAGTGTGTCATCGCTTATACAGATTAAGCTTTCAAACCATCCATCATGCAGCTGGACTTCTACTCTTTACAAGCAACAAACAGACAAATGTGAACTTGTCGTAAAAAAAAAAGCATAGAAAATGGCAGCATCCATAAGTCTTTTCATAAATATCCCCATAATTCTCCAACAAAACTGCCCTTCATCAGGTTATAATAATTCATATAGATTTTCATTACTTCATATCTAAAATAAACACGTGCTCTATAAACTTGTTCATATATTCAGTAATATAATCCATCATTTACGTTCTGTTCTCTTTCTGAAAGCCCTTATCATTAAGATGAGAACATCTGTACGACAGAAAAACCAAAGTGTTTCCCTTTTTCTTAAGAGAATCAATGCTTTGAACTCGATTTCCTCATCTGAACTCCTAGAAAAGATAAAAAAATCTATACTCAAAATAGTCATCTTYAAATATTTGTGTCAGGATTAAACAAGACCGACAAACTTTGATCTACAAGAAAATATAAAGCGTCAAATTCTGCAACGACAGGTCGTCACGAGAGGAGCTTTCTGAAATGGCAAAGTAGTTTATGCTTAAAAATGGTCAAATGTCATTAAAACTATCATTCCATCAGTTTCTTTTCACTGTCCAAAGAAATAACTCAGATTTGTGTCAATTTTTGCCACAAGACGTTCATCTGAACGCTCATTTCCAGGCTAAATCCAACATGTTTTTGCATAAACACCTAAAACACACATTTCTTTTATACGCACCAAAACAGCCACATTCCTGACCATTTGTTTGGTGCTTTTAAGTTAAAAAAAGAAGTAATTCAAAAATAAACTGGCCATAAACTAAACTACTCTTTTTTTTGCTTTCTAGTCTGCATAAAAAGGCAGATGAATTAAATTCCTATTCACAGATGAAGTTCAAATCCTCCAAATTCACACTTGGAAGAAGAAACATCGAAGCTACACAATTTGAATGAATTGAAACAAACAAAAATTGAACACTTTGGAGGTGTTTTTTTTAAAATCTTTTTTCTTTTTGGCTTTTTATTTTTAAAGATGACGTGGGTTTTGCTGATGGTCTCTCAGTGCTACAGTGTGAGCGGACCCTGGCTTGTGCCGACGGGCCGCTGGGTACGCTGGGACGTCTGCACAAAACAGAAACGAGCAGAAGCAGTTTCCAATCTGTCTGATGCTAAACGTAGATTTAAACTCAAATTGGTCAYGAAAAAATTACTTTTTATTTGTTTGTTACAACATTGATTTTAGACTATAAATCTGGGATAGCCTGTTCAATGTTTTAAAGTAGTTTCACTCAAAAACACGTGTTGGATTTACTTCAATTATCTGAACATGTTCCAATCAACTGAACTGAGTAAATGTAACACATTTACTTCACATTAACTTGTAAATTAAATGTAAAAATTGCTTTACATTTACTAAATCCAACACATCTGTTTTTTGAGTGCATGGATTAAAGCCTGAAGGCTACAAATGATCAACATGATGTCAAAATGCTCTAAAATCCACCTGGTTATGGGTTACAGCAGATAATGTTTTACCTTCAGCAAAAAGATATACAGTCAACTTCATACTGACCCTCTGTCAGCACATCAACAAATCCACTTTCCATATAGGTCCTCTTTTCCTTATTCTAACATTCTGCTGATTAAATAATCTATTTTTATACTTTGATATATATTTATATTTATATATATATATATAGTATATAAAAATATACAATCATTAGCTAGAGGTGAGACAAAAGATATTATCAGTTATATAGGACCAATACTGTATATCTCTAAAGAGAGCAACCCATGCATGTAAAACATCACTTTAAATATTTAATCCACCGTGTTAGAACTTAAAGACATTCTTCATCTAACAGTCTTCATCAAATCAAGAGTTCCTCCCATCCGATACAGAAAATCATTCAGTCATTTGAAGAGATTACTTTAAGCTGCAGTTTTYGCTGCAGAGGGAGGGATTTTATTTYGGTTTGCTGTAGGCAGGGGGAAATGAAGCTGCAGCTCACCGGCCTGACAAACGCTACGACACAAAGACAGACAGGTGTAAGGCATGGGTTTCCAGTGGAACAGCTCCACAGCTTTCACTTGCAAGTACTCTCCAAATCAWTTATTAAAGCACACTTCATTATTAAACTCCTAGAATCAGATCATGTTTGCCAAGAAATCACATTTTGATAATCATATCAGTCTTTCGCAGGGGTTCAGGACTAGACAATAAACAGGAAGTCACATCTAAATATCATCCAACTGCCGAACACTCATCTGTAACACTAAAGAGGAGAAAAAGCTACACTGTAAAAAAAAACGCGGAACATCAGGAACGCCTGATTCAAAAGTTAAACTGCTTTCAATACTGATGCTAGATCCCCAGAGGACAAAACGTTCTGAATAAAAACCAGAAACAAAACAAGATGAAGGAATGCGGTCAAAAGTATCGAGACAGAGATGAGAAAAAAGCCAAACTATTTTTGTGTGAATCAACAAATAAAACACCAGATGTAGGTCACACAGCCTCAGTAATCGTTTGACCAACATCCCAATAAATACATCTTTACTAAACTGCTCTGTAATGTACCTGATTTCAAGTATGTTGTGGAACCGTTGAGTTCACTTGAAAAAAGAAAAAAGAAGTAGCAACAAACAGAAAATAACAACATCAGGACTTTATGTGTCTTTTAAATACGTTTACATGGATATTTTCTTCGGGAACTTTATACACAGTCATAGTTATTGCATTGTTTTTGCATATCTTGCGCAGGATTACACCCACACRTTTCGTTATACTACAACACAACACCTCCAAAGTCATGCTAAACCAAAGAAGTCACGTTAAAGGAAACAAAACCAAAAAAAAAAAAAAAAACTCGCAAGGCTGCTCAACTTCACACGAGGGGAAAAGCCACAAAGCTCTGGATCTTTCTCAGGGGCACAACACAAACCTGCTGTGGCACTTCTGATATGCAGGGGTTTAGTGTACAAAAAAAGGTGACAGATAATGTGCAGATAGCTGTCATTCATTTTGTGGTTTTATGATCCGCTTTGAGAACAATCGCGGATGCTAGGCTGGCAGATTTAACTGCAGTTGCTTGGATACAGGAAATCTATTTCGCACGTCTATAATGAACATCCTTGAGAGTTTAAGCCTAATATTCTGCAGGTCCTACCATCACATGCAGCTTAAACCAATCAGGAGATCTCAAGCTATTTTATAATACTGTATATAATAAACATTAAATACGGTTAGACTAAACTTCCAGCAAACATCAGCCACTTGCTGCAGGACGTGCCAGCTTCCCCATTTGTTAAGTTTGAATAATTCAAAAAACACTAAATATTTCTATTTGTGTGGGTGCTTTTCTGTAGAATTGAAGTGACTGTGAACCTACAAGGATAGCAACAAAAGAAACGCTCAACATTCACATTTAGATTGCATAATAATGACAGAAGTTGGTTACTGGCACAGGATGCAGTGTATATGGCAGTGTGTTTATGCATACTCCTCCCTGCCACAGACCTGCTCTGATTTATGGAGGAATATGAGCTCAATAGAGAAAAAATAAAGAAAAATAAAGAGTACGGGCCTGTCTAATAGGGGTTTCTGTGTGGGCTTTCTGAACATTTAAAACGGACAGTGAGTCATAAAAGTGTCTTAAAAAATGGCAAAAGCGCTTCCAACACAACTACATTTATTTGGAAGTTAAAAAATATTTTTTATAACATTCTAGGGAGTTGATGACAATTAATTTAGTTTTAAATGATGTACATGTTGATATAATACTAAAAAAATACTGTATTGAGTGGTGTTATAGTACCAGGAATACTGAAACCAGTGTACCGTRGCGTGGACATCCCGTGCTCTTATGTTAAGTGAATTAGCAAAAMTCTCCAAGTTTTCATTAGAATAAAAAAAATAAAAGCCTCACATAATACAACTGTCCTTTAAAGTGGATAGTTCTATAAATTATAGCCAATTTAAACCACGTGATCAATAATTTCCTGAAAATTTCCTCCTTGTATTTCTAGCAGTCGCTACTACCAGTAAATGTTAAAAACAAAATAATTTGTCTTTAACGCCACAATAAAATAGAAAGGACTAAGACGAGGAGGTTTGATGTTTTGCAGCAATAGTACACCAGCCCTAATTATTAATGAGGAGTTTCAACTTTTGCCAAAGGATGTTATGTTGCATGAAAAGTGATAAAAGCCAGAGTGAGCACTCGTTTCCCGCCAAAACCCTCTCCCCCCCGATTTGTGTCACAAGGCATCACTGTGGCAGTAGAAATTTTGGTGCTTCTGTCATTCAGAGCAGTAATTTAACATCAAAAATAAAAACGTTCTGGTTAATGTCAGTGCTGGAAATGTAGCCCTCACTCTGATCTTGCTGCAGAACGAACTACGTCTTGAATGGTGGCAGGGAAAAAATTGCGATGGCTAATATTCGAAGAGAGAGAGTGAGAGAGACTTCTCACCCTGCAGCTTGTTTTTCTTTTTAAAAAATGTACAAACTGTGCTAAAGAAATCACAAAGCTTTGGAAGCATGCCTGTCCACGGTAACCCTGTGTTAAGGAGGCCCATTACAACACAAACACACACCCTCGCTCACACACACACACACACACCAACAACATACTTGTAATGCTACCTTAATTTAGGCTTAAAATAAGCTTTTAGAATACACAAGAAACCACTCGAACATTCTCACACTTTTTTTTTCTCTTCTGGAAAAAAATAAATAAATAAATAGATACAATCTGTAAAAGGTGCATACGGATAGAGAAACATCCCTCTCCCCCTTTTTGTTTTAGATTACACACCCACTCGCACACTCTTGTACTAAAATGCAGACATGCGTATGCACGCACAAATRCGCCCTCACACACACTATGCCCTGCTTCGATACTTAAAACCTCTTAAAATTGTCCTAAAAATAAAATCGAGCAAAAAATACACTTATAAGACCAGCACCCCGATTGTGCAAACAAATTAAGGATAAATTAAAATCAATAAAAGTCATGAATATAAAAACAAAAGAAGTCATGGCTAGCCAGTTTTGCACGATATTGAACTGTTAAATACATAGTGGGCGTGGTCTGTAGAAATCGTATGTGGCAGCAAATCTAACGGGATTCCCAGCTGAGAGGAAGAGGAGGGGCTTAGAGGAGGAAGTGACGTTGATTGACAGCAGATCGGACGTGGCTCCATAGCCCGGAGTCACTTTCCTTTTCAATCGATCACTCCCGCTCGCTCCTCCACCCTGGCATCTAGGTGGCCCTGCACGACAAACACGCCCCTCCTCGAGTGCTGAAAAAGAAACAAAAACAAAACAAAACAAAAATCCAGCAATGAGGAGTGATGGCGATACAGCCAAAGAAGTGGGAGGAAGGATGGAGGAAGGAGTGAGGGACAGTGAGATATGAGGCAGAGAAGGGGGCTCGCTATCGCTACAGAGCCATCAAACGCTCCGCTCATTTCCTGTTTGGGGCAGCAAGGGGGTGTGGCCAAACAAAGAAAAGGTCGGAGGCGGGGTGAAGCCGGGTCAAGGTGACGGACGAGGCGAGTCTTGATGGAGTCTTACTGACCAACGGGGATGAAATAAAAAAATAAAAATAAAAGCWAGTTCCCTGTTGGCTAGGAAGTGTTTTTCTCTGCCTGCGTCCCCCCCGTAGCAGCCCTCCTCTGGCTGTTGAACCATCCCTCAGATCCTCCCCCACCCCCACTTGGCCGCGGGGGCGGCGGCACGTCACCGTAATTCCACTCCYGTGCTGGCAGGGCTGTGCTCCAAGGTTCCGTAGCTTTGGAAGAGGAGGAGAAACGAGATTTCAAACAGGGTTTGTCTTGTCCCTGTTTTACACAATACAGCGCTTCATCATCAGCTAAAAAAAAGGAGTTGACCTTTGACCTCGAGTGGGTTTTGGTCAGAAGGTGATCCTTTACTGACTCCTTCACAAGCTGGTTTGCTGTCCCCTACCTGGCATCATGGCGGCCAGACAAACAACAATAACACACCACCGAAGTAGGCATAGGAAATGAAAACATTAATACCGTTTGAAGGAAATCCATATAAAGACTTCCTGCCACTGTGTCTTGTCTACCTTCCTTTCATTTTGTCTTTGTTTTATTTTTTTGCTTGTCTCGACCTTCCTGCTTCTTCACACTTTGAGGACATGAAAAAACTGTGAGGCACTTTAGAGCCACACTCAGACACGTGTGGTGAACACACACACACACACATACACACACACACACACACACAAGTACAAACACAAAAAAAAATCCACACACACTAGCATTCAGTCAGATCGGATATAGTCCACTGCAAACGTTCACACACATACTGACTCAGTTAAACCAACAGAGTCGTAACCATGTGTTGAAGGTTGCATCGCTGGCCGCCACTGTCCGAAGCGACAGAGTAGGTGAGTGTGTGTGAGGCGTGGGGACAAACAGAGCCAGCCGTGGCACTGTGCACCAGCACCGGCGGGCCGTCGACTCTGACGTCGCCAGAGGGGCCCGCTCGCTCATCAGACCTGATCAGCTGACGCCTACAAGCTCGTCACACACTCCTCGTCCTCTAAAAGCTCGCTGTTCCTCTGCAGCGCTCCCGCCATCACGGCTGGACTTCTGTGATGCCTTTCTTCCCTCCCTCCTGCTTCCTCCTCCTCCTCCTCCCGCCCACTCCCCGGGGCTAGCAGCTCCTGACGCTCCTCTATAGAGGACGGCCCGTGGACGTAGCCTCGGCTCCCGCCGGCCTCGGCCACGTCCTCTGCGGGGCTTGAGCCGCCGGCTCGGTCCCTGTGTGTCGCTGCTGCTGCTCTGTGGAAGGGGAGGCTGCCGTTGGGGCTGTGCTGAGAGGTGGAAGAGGCGCTGGGTGTGGCRTTGGTGGTTGTGTTGAGAATGTTGTTGGCGGCGTGCTCCATCTCCTCAATGGTCATGTCGCAAGCATCCGCCAGCTCGGCTTTGGTCGCCTCGATGAACGACGGGTCCTGGGCGAAATGACCCAAACCTTCTGATATTAGAACCTTTAGGAGATTAAAAAGGCAGAGAGGAGATGGGGATTTAGAGGCGTACGATGTTGAGTCATCTGAGTCAAGAGTAATCTTGTGTTAAAAGACTCACCGCTTCCACTAGACTGCCTGCRCTGCCGTGCGACAGCGAACTGGAGTCTTTCCCCAGAAGCGAGGGCACCGTTAGCGACACCGGCCGYGGTGCTCTTTGACCCGACACGCTCGGTGTGGGGCTGGGGCTGGATACTGGGCTGTTCCCATTACTGTCGCTGTACCTGGAGTTAAAGCACCGCTTAATAAAAACATTACTATACTTCTAATATCAATCAAATGGTTATTGTAGCATGTAGGCACTAACAGCTAAAGAAATAAATCTCACCAGGGCCCACAGTTGACAGAAGGCAAACTGGCGTTGAGCTTTTCATGAGAGTTGGCGCCCTCTAGCCTCAGCGAGGGAACTCGCTGGTAGGAGGCATCACTACATTGAGCTGGGAAAAAGAAAAACAGGATTCGAAACATAGAACATCTCGTCGAAATGTTTCTGCTGTTCCWTTTCTGTTTCGCACCTGTGGGGCTGGCTGGAGGCGTGGAGCACAGCCGGCTGAAGAGAGTGGGTGAGTGGCTCCTTCTCAGCAGAGGACTTAAACCTGCTACTGCCAGAGCCTGGGAGAAAAGAGAGCAGAGGGAGTTACTCCAAAGAACAGCTTCAAAGATGGTAAATAAAAGTGGGATTCCTACTTGTTGATGTACAAGATGTAAGGGTACAGCTGTCTTTTGGGAGATATCTGGTCTCGAGTGCCTCCTGAGACACTCCAAATGGAAGGACGCTCTCCGACCTGACAACACAAATACAAATACAGTATGTAATTATGTAAATACAATCAGCGTGTTTGTCCATGTTGTCCAATCCTCTCACCCAGAGTTGTTGGGCAGAGGAAGACTCTTCGCGGAGACTGCCATCCTCGTCCTCCTCTTTGCTCCTCGACCTCCTCCGCTTCCTCCATGGGAGCCAGCTGTTTGCATGTTTCATCATGATACACCAACCTATCAGGTGCACACAGACGCGGCGGTGAGCTACAAGCATTGACGATGAAGACTAAACTGTGAATGTTTCTCAGCAGTACATGTCAGAAGAAAGTGAGTGGTCATCTTCCTGGTATTCCCTGTCGTCACCATAACTCTCATCGTACGTCTCCTCTGTGGAGCCCTCCCCTCTCTGGATGATTGGCAGATGACTGTCACTCGACTCCGAGCTACGAATAAAATGGGCAAACGACCAAAAACAAGCAAGCACACAAATAAAAACACAAAGTTAACATAAGCGCACGGCACAGATGGAGGCACAAACAGTCAAAACATATGTATTACAGAGAAAAAAAATTAATGCAGCTGATTAGCAAAAGAAAAAAAAATCTGCGAGGAGCTTCAGAGGAGCGGACTCAGAAACCCGGAGATGCTTTCTTACTGCATGGAGGAAATGACAGGAGGAGATGAAGAAGCCTGCAGAGCAGCGAGTGGAGTTTACTGCGGTTTTGTTCAAGCAAAAATGGTAAAAAGCACTAAAGACAAACGAGTGATACCGGAGCTGAAGTTCTGACATGTTTAAAAAACAAAGAGGAGCACAGTCCCTGCAGGATAAATAAACTTAGCACAAAAAGTAAGGAAATGTGTGTTTGGTAGATAGTTTCTTTGTTGCAACAATGCTTCCTGGTAATAAACCTCATACTGATGGAAAGCCTGTTAATTTCCCTTTTAAATGGAGCCACATTTGTAAGGAACATGCATTTGTGGGATGAGCAGTAGAGCTGAGTATGAGGGTTGCAGATATGAAACATTTGCCAAATCTTCTCTGCCAAACATCCTTTTTTGCTGTTGCTATCAGGTGCTGTTTAAGATGTATTGCCAAGAAGCATTGTTACAACAAAGAAATAATCTACCAAACACAAATTTACTTACTTTTTGTGCTAAGCAGAGATACAACCCTATGTCAGAAAAAGTTTGATTTGCAGGAAAAATTGAAAAAGAAATCAAGCTTACAAAATCATATAGTAAGTCTTATATAACTTACTTTGAGTTTTAGTTTTGTTATAGCT